ATCTGACATGTTTTAAAATAAGTATACACAGACCTGAACCTTGAAATTGTGAAGCTGCTTTCTTTTTGACCAGAGTTATGAAACCCTGCTCCAGAACATGTTTAGCACCACTACTGTGGTGTTAGAATGAATGCGTTGTTAGAAAGTAGTGTTAAAATGTAAAGTAAAAAGTAAAAATTTAGCAAGTGTCAACCAATCACATGCTTTATATTTATGTACTATGAACAGTCACAAAAACTCTACGTGTTATTCTATTAGTACCCTTACAGTCTTAAAAAAACATCCAGGAGAGAAAAGCTTAATATCTAAGTTTATCCTGGAACAATATTCTAAGTAGTTAATGAGATTTAAGGAATACATTTTTGAAACATATGTTATGTTAAAGCTTACATTTAGGATTATGTGCTTCTATGTCATTGTTATCCAACTATTAATCACTGATATTTACAGTTACAGTAGGTTTAGGTGTAGGGACTAGATATGATTACAATTTTAAACAGGAATTATGATCCAGGATCAACATAGATTTTAATCGATGATCACATCCTACTTGGCAAACTCAAATCCACCTGTGTGGTGTATTCTTTCAACAACACCATAGGGACTTTCACACTAGAGGAATTTTGTAATAATTCCTTGAACTAGTGTTAAAAAGTTGTGTGTGAGTGTTTTTTTTTTTTTTAATGATTCGAATTGCACCTCAGGAACTAATAATAAAAGTTGATTTATAGGGACTGCTTTCAGGGGTTCAAAATTTCTCCTGCTTCAGAATAGGAGTAGGATCTAATCTTGCACAAACAACTTGTTAAACCTGATGTCACATGACTTAGCCCTGCCTAATATCAATTGGTCAGAAAGTGCACATTTTTCTAGTAAAACTTGTTAAAATATTGCTGTCTGTGATGCAGCAAGTCCACAGAGAGTAGTGAACACCATCATTTGAACATTAGTTCTTATAACTGAATTTCTATAAATACCTAGTAAAAGCTACTGCAGACACAGCAAATTTGCAAATAAGGGCCCAGGGTTTAGGATTGTAAAACGTGAAATAAAATACTCAGGAATATCTGTTAATTCAAGTAATAATAATCAGTGTGAAGGAACATAACTCAGCATTTTGTTTCCCAAAGGTTTGTGAAACAAAATGACTCAGGGTAAGTATTTTAAGGGTGCTTTCACACCTAGACTTTTGTTTCGGAACCTGTCTTGTTTGCCAAGTTAGCGCGGTTCGTTTTGCACAAGTGAATCCATAGCACTTTTGGTCTGTTTGGAAACGTTGCCGTGTGAAAGCGAACAGCACCAAGAGCAAAGAGCAACAATGTAACAATTTTAATCCTTGTTTTGGAACAACTGAATCAATTCACAAGAGTGTAAGCAGCCTTAATCCCTGTTTCGGAACAACTGATTCGATTCACAGGTGTGAAAGCACCCAAAGTGCGGAATAGCCCCGTTGTTAGAGGATTGACATATAGCACAACATCTCTCTGGTGCGTGGACCTTTCCTGATCCTGTCACCCTCTCCACCCCACTTCACTTACTGTCAATCTACTGTCTTATCAAAAGAAGGCAAATGCCAAAAAATGAATCTTAATAAAAAAGTAAGATCACATTGTTTCTCAAGTGTAAAATGAACTTGCTTAAAAACATTACATTTTCAACCAATGAACAAGTCTAAATAATTTCCTGTATTTAACCCACAATATAAATTTGAAAGCACTTCAGGAAAGTTTCACAATATGATTTTGACTAATAGTGAGCATATGAATCTCTTCCAGTTCATTAGTATTTCTGGGCATCCTCTGTCTTCTGGGCTCTACATTTGGAGGATACAACATGGCCATGGCTGCCATGAGTCCCTGTCCCTTACTCCAAGACACACCACTAGGCGACGCCATTATAGTAAGTTACTTTTTAAAATATTCCACTCACTTCCAGAATAATCTTAATCTTTCACTTTGACGCTGATTCTATTTAGAATTAAATGTTAAAATATCAGTGTATATGATTCAGCAGTGTTGTTCTTTTAGCTACAACTGGAATCAATGTATAAAAATATAAAAAATGCATTAAAATATATAATAACCTCTAAAAGTAACATTCCAAATAATAATGAAACTTGTTTGATCTCATAACTGATTAGTGCTTGATTTGAAAATGCTGAACAAATTCAACTTATTTTTCAAGCTCCCTAGATTCAAAGTCAAGAGTCTGCGTCACTAGCAATGCAGAGTTGTGTAATTCTAGCCGATGTGAGATATACTAATGCTTTCTCAACACCTTTGCGTAATTACCCTGATAAGCAACCACTTCAAACCTACTGTCACAGACATGTCAGCTCCACTGTATTAACCCTTTCATGCATGAATCGTGGAAAACACTGTCTAGATTGTTTTCAATTGTTTAAAAACCATTTTCATTATTACAAAATTATGTTTTATGTACACTATATTTAACTGTCCTGATATGTAGCAGACAGTCACCGTACATAAAAGTGTTGAAATATGACTAAGCAACAGTTGAGGAGCTCAGTTATGCCTGGTGCATTTAGAAAATGACTATTGTTGTCCTTACATTTGTATAGGGCTTTTCTCATATATAAAGTCCCCATCAATATACTGGGGTGTTAGGACCCACACAGACTGCAGGTTGAGCGCAGCAACCTAGCTTTCCCATGTGATCTCCCATCCAGACACTGACTGGGCACAACCCTGCTTAGCTTCAGTAGGTGACCATGTGAGAGTTGCAGAGAGCTAGCTGTGGGTGAGAGCTTGAATCATCAAGTGGGCCCATATCCAGCCTGGTAAAAGGGGTGGTTCTTTTTTCTCAAAATGTGGACCTTTTTGCAGTCATTTGCCTTATTTTATATTTAATTCTGAGACTTAAATACTGCATTTTAGTGATGTGCTAAACACTATTTTGCATTAGCTTGTCGGTTGGTCATCATATCCACACTTTTTAATGCATCAAAATATTTTCTAAAGATTTAGAAAAAAGAAATATGAATAAATACTTATTTTTAAAAGACACTTTTATTCCATCATATATAGAAATCTGTACATTTTTTAAAATTAAAAACTGTATCCTATTGTCATTTATTAGGCAAATAACAAACTCTCCAAATTCAACTTTTCTCAGTCAGAATTTGGCTATTTGATTTATATATATATATATATATATATATATATATATATATATATATATATATATATATATATATATATATATATATATATATATATATATATATATATATATATATATATATATATATATATATATATATATATATATATATATATATATATATATATATATATATATATATATATATATATATATATATATATATATATATATATATATATATATATATATATATATATATATATATATATAGATATAGAGAGAGAGAGAGAGAGAGAGATAGATAGATATATATAGATATATATATATATATATATATATATATATATATATATATATATATATATATATATATATATATATATATATATATATATATATATATATATATATATATATATATATATATAT